GAACATAATGGCTGTGGCCAGTGCTTGAAACTGGAAACTAAGACCCCAACTGGAAGATTAACAGATTAGATTAGGAACTACCTTTCTCTCCCACATAGATTTCGGCCATTACTGCAAAATGTCATGAAAAGGTCTAATGTACAAAATAGTCTGACTGTTAATGACAAAGTTACTAAACTAGTTCTCTAGTACAATATTTAGCTTGAGCTTCGTTGGATTTTTTTTAGTAACATATCACCACAAGTAGCTATACTCCACAAATTATGGAAACATGAACAAGCAAACACAAACACATCTACAAACCCTAACAGGAGCAGCAGTATTTTATGACCTCAGTTGATTACCAAATGATTTAATTTTTGTTTCCACCAGGTTCTGCAAGGCTCTTGAGAAGGCATGTGTTGATGCTGTTGACAATGGTCATATGACTAAAGATCTTGCTGCTTGTATCTATGGACTTAGCAAGTAAGTTGAACTTGGCCGAGATAGAGTGGAATGTTACATGTTGCTTTATTTTTTATCTATTTTGGCAGAGAATTTAAAATTTTGTTGTTGCTTTGTATAGTGTAAAGCGGGACCAGTACTGCTCAACTGAACAGTACTTTGATGCTGTTGAGAAGCAACTTCACAACCTTTATCAACCTCCTGCATGATGATGAGTCAGCCATAAAAGTTCCTGCTACAGATAATCCTTTAGGCTGATAATACAGTGGCAGATTTAGCCCTGTAATTGTGTTCATTATAATTTAGGACAGACCTAGTTCCAAGCTATTGCTTACTATACAATTTTCTTTGAGATGAGTGTGACTATCACTAATGTATTTTTTTGTTAAAAACTGGCACTAATCAGTTCAATTTTACTAATGTATTTTGCACACGGGCGCTTGCCTGAGCCTTCATATTACGATTATTCTGTGGTCAAGCCAGTCAAGTCCTATCCTTTCAGTATCAGTTGCAAATTCTTGCATATGTAATATGCTGTGTGGTGAATGTGAGTGCCAATAACGTATCTTTTACTTGTGATCTGAAACAAGCTGCCAAAAATTTTTGTAAGCGTACTCTGTAGTTAGGACTCAAAATTTCTATAGTGTGGATAATATGTGGTTTATTGTATGTACTTGCAAAATAGAAAATAAAGTTGCTATGATTTTAAAAGTGAGCGAGTCTTTTCAGACGGATGAAGATGTGTTCTTGTTATGATAGTTTTGGAGAAAGGTAAGTTGTTCATCGGCTCGGGTAAATCGCCACTTTGGTAAGATCTACAAAGAAACCTTTGATTAAATGACCATTCATAGTACCCTTGGTTTCATCCAGTGGCCAGTCACGGTTCCAACATTCTCTTTACTTGCACTGAAAGGACGATGGCGATATCAACTTATTATTTTTTTCACCAAGAGAAGTACGACCGGAACGTATGACTGACTGAAAGTCCGATTTCAATCGTCAAACTTTGTTCAATGTAAGCAATACTTGAATCCTATTGGCTGACGCGAGTGCTGTAATGATAATGACTTCAATCTCCCTTTTCCAACACTTTTTTTTTTATCAACTTCCCTCTGAAAGCTCGTTTCGATATATTCAAGTAGTTATTTGGATAAATAACAATAGCATCTATTTGGCGCGAAAACATGTACGGACATTTATCCTTGGATGTTATCTGTTCCGAGATGAAAAGTGAGCTTCATGGAACAGATAATGTCTGAGGACAATTATCCGTACATACTTTCGCGCCACATAGAGGATATTATTTATTCTCAAATTCTTTTAACCGGACTGGACCTTCAAAGTTCCAGGTGAAACCGCAAGTTCAAACCTAAACCGCGTGGCGAAAAGAGAGGGAGATTGTAGACAAAGACTAAAAATGCAGAATGAATGTCGAGAGGAAGCAGTAATCAAGGGCTTTCGATAAACACCTATGAGAAATTAATTATCTCGGGGAATGCACGTTTGATCTAGTGAGTATGTTATTTAATAACTATAGCCACTACCGAGCGACTAAGCATGGGTGAGACCAGCCGAGGCCTTGCATGCAATTTCGATGCCCGCGCAATAGAAAAATGGTATTTTTTTTTTCCTTTGTTTTGTTCGTGAGTGTCAATGAAACTCAGTCGATTCGTCTTTCGATGTCTATTTAGTCGTAAGTTTTTACAGAAGCCTTTGGGGTTCTGGCGTCATACAGTGTTACTTCCAACCCCAGCCCCCTCAGGTGTTGTGCGACTATGACATGCTCCCTTCACTATGACGTCACTCATATAACGAGAGATATTTCCATCTCGGATTCCCACAGTAACTCCTTTTCCTATGCAATGTGTACGCACACCACCACTGCCACTGTTATTCCTTTGGTAATACAGTCGGGTGCAGTGGATATAGAGCTGTTATGGACTACGAGGAAGTCGGACAGACTATCAATAAACTGTATGGCAACACCATATACCAAAACTAGGTAAAATTCATTCATGCAAAATACATACTACACGTTATAACATAACTTAAGAATAACTTGATAAAAAAATACAAATAACTTAAAGAACAGGTCATTTGTTTTGTAATGTACAAGAGATTGGTAAATACAAAATCCGCACGAACGTTTAAAATAAAAATTTGCTCTAAAATAAAATGGAAACTTGACGAAAGGTATGAAATATCTTACAAAATACCAATTCAACCAATTAAGATAGTTGAAAACTGCGAAATATAAAAATTCCACTGTACAGTGTCTCCTCTTTTGAAAACCATGCTGCTGGTAGAAAAAAGTGCTAGCACTTGAGACAATTATATTCGTTTATCTCATAGTTAGCCTTCAAACTAAAACTAAGCTTTAAACTGTCGGCGTACGCAGGTTTGCGGCGCCATGTTGCGTTTAACGCCGGAGCCACGAGAGGACTGAAACAAAAAATTTTTTAAAAAAACGTACACTAGAATAATTCTTACAAATAAATAAATATATGACACTATCTGATATAGACTAAGTTCTCTTTGCATAAATTGAGAAGAATTTGGTATGATAAATGCTTCTTTCATCGCAAAACTCATTTCAACGGACTTAAATTATCTCTATTTGGGAAGTACTTCAACTGCAGGTCCTCGTATTTAATGATAGGAACCTTTCTTTGCTTATACACAGCAGGTAATTCTTTAGCAAAACTGTTCACTGCTTCTTAACCTAACGATCATTTGAAGAACTTCTTGTATCTCAGGGTCCATTTCAAGCTGAGTAAAAAGAAAAACAAGTGTCATTGATCGCTACACAATTACTTACTAACATTTATCCATTGGGTTATAGTGTAACCATTTAACCCCTAAGATTCTCTGGCTTCAAATTTCTTCTTGCAGTATACCCCTTGAATCAAATATTAAAGTCCAAAGAAGAAAGGAAATGGTCTCCAATTTAAAAAGCTTTTGATTGTCAAATAAATTCTCCTTGTCAGTACCGTAGGGAATGTATAGAGAACAGTGTGGAGAATATGAATACTAATGTAAGGGTGTAAAGGGTTAATCTTCGACTGCAACAAATTTGGAAATGCCCACGGTTTAAGAGTCAGCCCTTCGCAGACTTATTCGTCCCTAGCCAACTTTTTCTGAACTTTTATAAAAAGAGAATTGGGGACGAGACACGAAATCGAAAAGAGAGTCTTACCTGGCTTGCATTTAGAAGTTGTAGTCTGTACATGTTTATAGTCTCTCTGTATTCTCTTTCAGCCTCCTACCGAAGACAATTACGTGGATTAAGTAATACAGGTACGGCAGTTTTCCTGTGTCATAAATCCCCTTAAATCTGGGGACTGACAATCAAAACCATTTTGAAAAGATTTTTTTCGGCTGAGAAGCAAACGGCGGGCGGAAGACTTGAGCAACTTCTTGGATACGTTTTGAACCAGCCATCAATTTTAAAGCCTTGATTTTAACATTACAAACTAGTTGCTTGAGACGAACGCTCTAAACGACCAAAGCCCAGTAAGCATTTGGTGGTTTGATACTCGAACTCATATGTCGTGACTTAGCACGCTTTCTTGATCAAACGTTTGACTCAGAAAAAAGAAAACTTCACGCGGATCGATATACAGTATGATCTAAACAGAAAAGGAATACGTTCTGCAGTTAAGGAACAAGTTGAAAGATTTGGGAGCGAACTGGTAAAGGTGGGGGCGAACTTGTTTTATTTCAGGGGGCAAAACCGCAATGGGGTGAAACTTTCAGATACCGCGGTAAGTGGTAAAGCATCGGAGCGCGGAATCAAATGGTCTGAGGTTGAATTCCTAATGAGGACAATTTTTCTCTATCCCAAGTTCGCGATAAGACGATGAAATATTTTTTTACGCTGGATAAAGTTAAAATGACATGTTCAGTTATAACAATGTTCTTTGTTTTTCTTTTTGTTTTTATACCTGAAATTGATGCTCGAGCTCCTTTAACTCTGCAATCAATCGCTGTTCTGTTGTATTATTTGATGAATTTCCCGACTTGGTTTTGAGCTGACCGCATTGAGGACATGATCCACTGTTGGCGATTGACTGTTGAAAATAGAGAAAAAAAATTACAAATTGTTAGGGAAAATAGAAACCCGACTGGAATCCTAACCATTTATTTGCGCTTAAGAGGTAATGGGAAAGGAGAAAGCCTATCATCTAAAGCGCTCCTGTCCAGCTTCTTTCCCTAACAGACAACCGAGAAAGAATTAGAAGCAATCTGATAAACAATTTGTTGAGACACTTACTTAAGGCCAATCACATACAATTTAAACTTATCGAGATATTCCTCAAAGGAACGACCAGTTGTGACAAAAATATTAAAAACGTTACTAGGTAATCTGAGGATTAAACACTTTTATCTTACGACTGAATCATGGAGTTATCCCTCGTCGTATTTACTTCAGTGTTACAATTAAATTTGTCAAAACACCTTTTGAAGGGATTCATTTGTTATCTTGAGCTCTTCCAATTCTTCCGTCAACTTAAATATTTCGTCTTCATTTGATTCCTACAAGAGAAGGAAACAATTCATTCATTAACATTCATTCATAAGCTACATCGTCGAGATTGAAGCATGTGAATCTCAAACGCAAAGAGTAAGAAACTCAAGGATCATAGTGAGAGTGAGAGTGAGCGCGAGTATGAGCATAAGCGTGAGAGTGAGAGTGAGAGTGAGAGTGAGAGTGAGAGTGAGAGTGAGAGTAATAATAAGTGAGAGCGTTGCGTGAAAAAGTGTGCGAGGAAGACTAGGTCAGGTAGTGTTAGACACTGTAACCTTGAAAGCGCTCTTATCTTTTCCAAAGTGAGAGAAAACTATAGGAAAAGATAGAGTAGAACATAGGTAAGGAAACTGACCTTCATAGGAGAAATATTCAAAATGTAACCAAAGATAAAAGTTTTTTTTCATCTCTCTAGATGGCCTTGTCATTTAATCAAATATTTCGCTTTTCTGCGATAACACAACCTTCTTAAATTTTTTCTTCATTCCCCTCCTATAACTACTGCACTTATTTCAAATCTTGCGCATTTTAAGGAATTTTTGTTGCAGTTTATAACGTATTTAGTTGATTGTAAACAGTGTAGTCGCTAAGTTGCTGTAGAGTAAATGTATCTTACCTTGAGCTGCTGATAAACTGTCAGTGGAATTGTGGGTATGTCGCGATCGACCCGGCTATCAATCAAATCTCCATTGACTCGAGAATGCCGCTGTGGAGATTTACAAGTCAAATAAAATATATTCAACATAGGGAGAAAAGTTAAAAGACGAAAAAACATTGATAGGGTACTGTGACATCAATTTTAAAAAATTCCAACGGAAGAAAAGCCGAGGACAAATATTAGAACATAAAGAGCCTCTATAGAAAAAGAATTAATTCTAAAAAGCAGAAATTACAAAACATTTCGGGCCTAAAGAGATCATTGAAAAATACAATCAAAACTTAGTGAGTTTCAAAAACAAATTGGTTCTCGTCTTATGAAGTGAGTAGTCATAATATCATATTTTGTTTTTGAGGGAGTTTTCCTAGAAAGACAAACTCTCTAAATTTAAGTGGGTCTAAAATTAACACAAATTACCATAGAATTAAAGTTATCAACATACCGGCAATTATTACCAAAGGGAAACATAGATATTTACATCAGTTACTGACTGTACAGTTTAGAGGACATTTTGTTTTAGCAGAACTTA